ACTGACTTTTTTACTTGATGAATGTGCTGAAACATTATTCTTGTTTGTGACTGTTATTATCAAAACGGACTAAATTGGTGCAATTCCTCAGTTCTCCATTTGAACCCTGTTTCATCATATTTCCACCCGGAACACATTCCCTGTTGTGCTGGAATGAAAATAGCTGATATTTATAAATGACAATAATCAATACATAGAACCAGCTGAACATGTACAATTAGAGTGTTTATGTTCCAATTGTACCTGTTCCCTTTTTATATAAACAATTATGTTTAAATAATAATGATAATAATGATAATGATTAATATAAATATATCATATATAGTTGATAAATGTATTCATTCAGGACTACAATTATAATACTCGACCGGAAAAAGGTGCCATGCCCTCTCCAGGTGGGTGCAGAGGTCCTTTCTCAAGTGGAGGAGTTCAAGTAAGGATGGAGTGTGAGATTGACAGATGGATCGGTGCAGCCTGTGTGGTGATGTAGCCATACTTGCATGTGAGAGCCAGATCTGAAGCAGGGCAGGACCTGGTTAGTACTGTGAAGATGGGAGACCTCTGGGAACCTCACGTGTCACAGTGGGGTCACTGTAAAGACACTTTACTCACATAAAATGAGTCGTGTGTGTGTGTGTGTGTGTGTGTGTGTGTGTGTGTGTGTGTGTGTGTGTGTGTGTGTGTGCGTGTGCGTGTGCGTGTGCGTGTGCGTGTGCGTGGGCGTGGGCGTGGGCGTGGGCGTGGGCGTGGGTGTGGGTGTGGGTGTGGGTGTGCGTGTACGTGGCTCAGAGGGCCGATGGGTCTTCTGTCAGTGTGCCCCAGGGCAACTGTGGCTACATTAGTAGTTTGTCATGTAGTGAAAGAATAGTGACATGTGGAGTGTCTCTGAGCGTCTTTGAGTGTCTATTATTATCATTATGTGGTTAGATGTGTATCGGACTGTTGTGGTGAAGAGGGAGCTGAGTCGAAAGCTCTCTATTCCTTTGTGTCAAGAGGAGCAAGTTTGAGGGGACTCGGGCATCAGTTACGGATGCCTCCTGAACGCCTCCCTATAGGAAGGTGTCACGAGGAGGCCCGGGAAAGACCCATGACATGTCAGTCTCTCTCAGCTGACCTGCAAACAACTTGGGATACCCCCAAATGAGCTGCAGACATGATAAGGATGTCTGGGTGTCTCTGCTCAGACTACTGCCTCCGCAACTCAGCAACGGATCGGAAGAAAATGCATGGATGGACAATTATAATACTGACATCATAATATACGTAATTAAAAAGGTAAATCAGAATGTTTCTCTTCAACCACAACTAGAGTGTTCTGTTCTGATCATAAAATCGACCTAAGAGGAGGACCGTCTGATTTAATTAAACCTTTGGTTATCTACTTTATGTCACTTGACAACATGGATTTGCAAACTAAAAAATCTGTTTCCAGAGTATTAGCTATAGCTACAAAATGAAATACCCAAGTGTTCAAAAAGTCTGCACAACTATAACAATACTGGACCTGAAAAAAATATTTAAATCAAGATTGATGACTATGGGCTCCCCTGCTGATGCATGAGCTTCAAATGACAAACCACGGGGTACATTGTCTTCCTCATTTGCATTTTATTATGTTTTTCTTCTCTTGCTTTCACAACCAAAAATTATCTTATTATTTTTCTCATATACCACAAACCAAAACCACTTCAGTAAGCCCTCTATATCTTTGACTGTGTCTAATTCCATCCGTCCAGTCCAGACTTCCCTCTCCCCAGATTCTTTGAGCTCCTCGCGGGTGGATGACCCTCAGGCTTACCCTATCTCCAAGTGCACGCAACAGAACTGCCACTCTGCAGAGGAAGAGAAACGCACTCAATTTGGAGCTTGTTCCATCGTCTTGTCCCCCACAGATACATCCAGTCCTCTAGGCCATATACCAAATTTACTGAAGTGGATAAACATAGACATATACTATTGCTTGTTTGATAGAAAAGTTAATATATCAAAGCCATTGTAAGGTAAAGGTCAGGTCACAGGCTGTGAAGAACTGAGAACTTAAAAGGTCATGTTGAATTGGTTAAATCAAGTACAGTTTTGGATCATTTCCTGGTATATTAATGCAAATGTAACAGTTACTATAGATAGATCTATGTGTTCAATCTTCTGGACAGGTTCCATTGTTGTCATCAGTTTTCAGAGCAGAGATGTTTTAACAATTTTTAAATTACTTTAGGCCGTTCACACTAGTTTTTCTAGTTCACTTTCACTGGACTGGTTCACTTTGGTGAAAAGATGTAAACTGAACGCAGTGACCAGTGGACACATAAACATGTGTACAGTGATTATACATCAACAAATAAAACACCAAATCTGATTCACTTTAACCAGACCAACAAGTGTGAATCATTCACTGGAACTGTAAAACTCTTTTCTGTAGAGTTGATCACTGAATGAATGAGGAGTGCCTTGTTCCAGACTTGTTCATATAAAAAATGTGCATAGCAGTGGCAGTCAGTACAGTTACCTATAAAAGGGGGCATAACCTGACACTCTCTCTACATCAGGGGGTTCCCAAAGTGGGGAAGGGGAAAGATGATTGGTTGTGAGATGATTTCCAGATTATATTTTCTTAACATTTCTAAATTGTATTGTTAAAATATTTTGTATTTAAACATTATCATCAAATAGCTTAATTGTCAATTAAACAAAACAGAAAATTAATGTAGCATGTGTTGACACATTAGATTTTATTTTTATTTTTTACTGAAAGTTCACACAAAAGTGACTGTGAACTGTGAAGTGAAAATAGAATGATGTACAGTAGTACATGATTTGGTCATTATTTTAAAAGAAGGAGTGCACAAGTATTCATGCAGCTATTTTTTGGAGTGCATTAAATTGCATTCCTAAGACATTCCTAGTGACTGCTGAATGTTAACACCTTGCCCTAATCAGTATAAATACATGTTATATGTTCTGTGAGGGCCTCAGTGCCATGGTCGGAGTGTATTGGTCACTAAACAACATCATGGAGGCTAAGGAGCACACCAAAGAGGTCAGAGATAAAGCTGTGGATGAAGTACTACCAACATCTCACAGAGCACTGTTCAATCCATCATCGGAAATGGAAAGCGTATGGCACCATTGTGAACATGTGCATAGATATGACCGTCCATCTAAACTAACAGATTAGTTTAGATCCTCTCTAAGTTTAGAGCTAAGAGTTTAGAGCTCTCCTTGTTCGCAAGGAGAGCTCAAGTCAAAAAGGCAAATGCCCCAACTATCAGTCGTGCTCTACACAATTCTAGCCTTTATGGGCGAGATGGCATGAGAAATACTGTTTAAAGTTTGAAAGAAGTGGAAAAATGTGCTTTGGTCAGATAAGTCAAGAATTGAGCTGTATTAATTCTTTCACAAGGCCCTGTAACTTCTGTAATTTAAATTTCAGTTTTACCCTTAATTTAGGGTTGCATTCATCTGCATTGATAACATAAGCAAAACAAATAATTTGTTTTAACACATCGCTATTTCCTCAACTTTTTCTCTTTAAATCATCCACTTGACTGATGTGAAACTGTTCCATCCCACAACAGAAATTATCACAAGTAATTAAACAAAAAATCCCAGAAAAAATACATCAAGTTTTCACCCAATAATGAATGATCCAACGAGTCAAACTAATTACTTTCCCTCAATGAATGTGGGTTTATTTGAGCTTGTTACTGTGTCTCTTTTGGCTGCAGCTCATAAACTCAATACGTTCTATCTCCTTTTGTCTACAATGACCCCTCACTGGTCTTCGGGGAACTGATTTAAACTGGCTTCATGAAGTTATGCCTGGTCCTTTCCATCACACATATTTGATTTCTGCACATAATGAGTGTAATAAATTAGCCGAGTTATAGATCTGCGACAGTTAGATAGCACTACCGGTCCAGGCTTCTTCCCAGAACGACTTTTTTTCTCCCTCTCGATTTGAAAATGTGAAATAATATGCCATCAGCCATTGCTCCCGGCCACAGCTTTGGATTAATTTAATAAGCTGTTTGGAGGAGAGTGAGATTGCGCTGATGGGAAGTGACACAGCACAAGTGGAGAGGTCCTCAGAGGAAAAGTCATTTCAAATTCTAATTTAATGCACTGTTAAAATAAAAAGGTGTGAGTGGATGTGGTTCTTTTAGACTGGTTGGGATGAACAGAAATGAAAATTTCCAGAAAGAGTTGGATAATAAAATCAAATCAATGTTTTATGACGGATAACCCTAACTTTAACTTGTCCCAAAGACCTAACCCATACCCAATCATCCCAACTCTAATTCTATAGAATCACTAAAGAACAAGAATAGGACTTGTAGCGAGGCACAGTCACATGTTGTTTAAAAGAATCTTGCAATCAGTTGTTTTGTTTGCGTGCTGGGAATTGAGCATGTTTCTTGAAAAGTTTCTCTATATCTCTCATAACGTTTTGAGTTGTTTCACACGAACAGACAGACAAAACTAAGGCAAACTCTCACTATCACTTTACCTCTTGAGTGGAGGTAATCAGTCAGCATAACCACCGATTAATGCCTGATACGAGGGAAAATAATATACAATATATCTCAACAAATCTTAAAATTGCCTACTGATCACAGATTTTGATTTTGATGAATTTAGATCAGGTGGACTGTGTACACACCGATGTCTGAGCATACTCATACTTCTACCACCTCCTGTCTATTTTAATGAAATGTCCCTTTGTAATGCTGTAATTCCTAATATACCATTATATATATACATTTATTATATTACTTACATCATATATTGTTTTCATTTCCAATGTAGAATCATGCATGTGATTTTCCAACTCAAATTGTATTGTGTTGCTTTCATTGTTCATGCAAATGCTGGGTGAATGGCAATGTGACAGTTTACAATATGTAAAACTTGATCATGTGGATAGAACATAATTGTAAAAAGATATATGTATTTCAGAACATTTTAGCTCTGTGGCATGACTGTGTGAACCATGTCCCGTGTCATGCCATGCTCGCAGCCAGAGCAGCATGAACTGCCCTCGTCCTAATCGAGTACCCAGGACAAACACCCCCTCTGCCAGCCTTGTCTCTGGGGTTGCCCGCAGCTCGGTGCCAGCCAGACAGGAACTCGTAAGAGTAATGGGCCGTGCCTGCCACCATTCCAGCTAAGCCCCCGCGCTCATTTGGAGGACTGTCAGGTTCTGCCGTGCCAGCTGACTGTGATCCTCCAGTGTACCGACACCGTGTGCCCACCAAATGTCTGCCACCACTAACCTGACCAGGGGCGGCCAGGACTGGGCAGAGAGACGGCAGCCGGAGGGGAGTGTGTGTGAGTGTGTGTGTAGCCAACATCAATGTCCACCACCATAAACAATCCAATTAGAGCCAGCAGCGCCCTCAGCAGCATCTGTGAGCAAAGCAATTCCAGTCACAGTTAAAAGATTCCAACAGTAAATGGGAAATACACTGTGAAAAAACAAGTAATGATATTCTATCAAATGTTTTAAAAAACAATCAGACTTCTACTTATCTGTATTAGTTGTCTTTTTTTCAACATAATAGGTTAATTGAAAATGTATGTATTCGTTATTGTATAAGCAGTGTTTGATCTCTTTTGATTATTGGAGGCAAATTTCTGCCAACTCATGAAGACACCAGTACTGAATTGCCCCAAATAAAGCATGGATTTTTACAACCTATAATATGGAGCCATTATACTTTTCTGATATCATTATCATCATACTGTACAAAACCCTTTTAACCCTTTGGGTTCCAGAGTTTTTTCTGAAATTTGATGTGAAACAGTCAAAGGGTGGAGTCCTGGAAGAAAGAAAGAACTACAACCTTTTTTTTTTTAAATAGAAAGTGTCCGGATTCCTGACTTAGGAGCTCTAGGGGCGACAGTGGCTCAGTTTGTAGAGCATTGGCCTTTAGGCCTGAAGGTGGGTTTGAGCCCACCACAAGACCTACTTCACGACTCCCACTGATGTCTGCTGTCGTTGTGTCCTTGGGCAAGACACTTAGCCCCACTTTGCTTGAAGCCCCCGCTGGAAGATCAAGGCTCCTGTGAACTCACCACCTGCAGGAGGATCAGTGAGGGGCTGGTGCTCTGTGTACTGGGTGCAGCTTTGCATCAACTCTCAACCCAAAGCATAAAGTACTGACCCACAGTTCTGTTGTGTGTATACTTGTGATCTAGAGTCGTCACATTTTTAGACCAGCTTTTTAAAAAGCCAAAGACGTTTATAAATAGTGACTCTATTAAGACGAAATTTCACTTTTAGAAGAATCATGTATTATTTACTACATTAAAAAGTTAGGCTTTAAATAAAAAAACTAGTGTGCCACTTTTGTTCACCACGAAGTTATCCAAATAAACATGTACTTTCTTTGCCGCTGGCGTGCGGGCTCCACCTACCGGCCTCCTTTCCTCTCCTCCTCTCCCAGCCTCCCCCTCACGGTGCTCCTCTCCTCCGTCGCCGCCCGGAGGAGCTGCTGTCCCCGCTAGTGTCTGCTCTACACATCGCTGACTGCGCACCATCCACGGCCGGTCACACACACCCGGCCCACGCAGTGCCTTGCCTCCTCTGCTGGGACCTCCACGCATTTACCTCCAGGCTACTAATATTTTCCCCACGGCGCGCTGTTACTCACTGTCTCTTCGTGAACTTTGTTGGATTTTTTTGCTGGAGCCCAAAACTTTTTTTTTCCCCTTCACATTGTCTCCCTCATCTCTCCAGGGGTAATATTGTTGTTACTGGCGCGGTCAAACAAAGATGGACTCGCGGGGTCTAAATGTAGTCTAGAAACTTCTTTACACGTGTTTTGGAAAAGACGCAGAGGATTTCGTGTATTACTAAACAGCCATACAATGCACTAAACTTTTACAGAACTTTTTGCCCCCTCGCCTCGCCTCGCCATGTCGGGAGTGGTACGCAGTCTGAGCCGCTGCCTTCTCCCGGCCGAGGCGAGCCCTGACCCGGGTAGCGGCAAAGACAGAGACCGCCGATGGGAAAAGGAGAACCAGCAAGAGGCGGCGAAGCGGGAGCGAGAGGCCAAGCGGAGGAGCAGGGAGATAGACGCCATGCTGGCCCGGGAGAGGAGAGCTGTGAGACGGCTTGTCAAGATACTGCTGTTGGGCGCTGGGGAAAGCGGAAAATCGACTTTTCTCAAACAAATGCGAATTATAAATGGGCATGAGTTTGATCAAAAGGCGCTGCTGGATTTCCGGGATACTATTTATGATAATATACTCAAGGTAAGTTATTGTTTTTTTATTTTGTTTTATTTTTTTTATTTAATCTTTAATTCAGACACACAAAGGGTCCATATAAAACAAAAGAGACAAAAACACACAAATATTCAATATTTACACCAGATGTGTGGCCTGCTGTAATGTATACTTTCTTATAGGCTGTGAATTTGGAAAGTCCTGGTCGACCTTTGCCTCAAAGGACAATAAAAGTGTTGCCATCAATGTTTTGTTTTGTTTGGTAAATGATTCAACAAACAAAGTTGGCACTGATTGCCATTCAGTTTCTTGATATTACGGATTAAAGTTTATGATCTTATTTGGTTTGGTGGGAGAGACAGGTGTTTTTATGAGCAATGCAGCGCTGACATAGAATAACAGATATTATAATAAATGTTTGTCTTAAGTTCTTTTATGATTTTGACGACTTACATTTTCACCATTGATGGTAGCTGCTTGTATTATTACCTCAACCAGAAATATACAGTCTATGGATGAAACAATGCTTTTCAAATAGTCCTGAGTGGGTTTCCTCTGTATGTTTTGTTCCTGCTTTTGAAGATGTTTACCAATATTTTTGCGCAATCTTTTGTTATGATTTATGTGATGTTAGGTTCTCCATGGCTCAAGGTGAGTTGTTGCCCTTAATAATTTGGACTTGATTAAACACCACATCAGTCAGTCTCAGCTCAGGGCTTTAGTCAAAACATTGATTCTTACCCCTTGGCAATTATGCGGCCTATTGATGCAGAGAGAGTAAGTCGTTATGCTGTTCAAATAAATTCATTATAAATGACTAATTTATACTCTTGCATTCAGGCTGGATTTAAAAATGTGATTTATTCATAAAATAAGTTGGTACAGGTGAGATTATTGGAGTCCATGGTAAAAATGTGTATAATATAACTAATTCACAAATCGGTCTTGTGTCTAACATACTAATGGATGGACGAGATCAGTGGAATTAAATGTGAGCATATTTTAGCATTTGGAATTGAAACAAAGGGTTTAATTTATTTGAGTTACAGTTGAGAAGCAGTACAGTGAAAACAAAAATTACTATACATACAACCAAATACTAAAAGTTCTTGTACTACAGTAGTTGTAGTTAATTTTTTGTTTTTATAAAAACACTGTAATACTGTAGTTTGTTATGTTGTCATGCCTCTCACTTATTGCACCAAACTATTGTGATTTTAAATGTTAAAATTGTTGTAAAATAGATGGCAGTAGAGGAAGTGATGATTGCCTTTTATGTGTAACAGAATTGAACGCCTCTTGGGCTGGTAACCAGCTCACTGTGCTGCGTGTTGACACAGGGCATATTTTGTCTTGGGGTGTCTGATGTGTCTTTGTTTTGCGCTGGGCCTGGGCCTGGTCCAGGCCTCCTTCACCAGCTAACAATACCAGACTATTCCTGAGGGATGAGCACATCCGGCTGAGTGCCCACAGCCCTACTGGGCCGATAAGACTGTTCTACATGCTACAGTTCAGGCAGCAGCTCCACCAAAAAGGTCTCACACTGCTTTAGACAGACAGAACACAATCACAGGCCCCTGAAATATGTTCAAAGCCTAAGACCCATAAAAGTAGAATTTGCGCTGAGTCTTTTGTTTATAGTTTTACTGATTTTGTTTGTTGTTTACTATGGGCTAAACCGAAACAAGCTGCATAAGGGCTTTAGGGATGCACCAAAACTGATTTCAGTAACCATGCTCGCCAACATGGACTACATACAGCTTTGCATTGGTTTAGCGTTACATCATGCTTCCCGGGTGTGACTGTTTTCAGTGGAGAGGTGCTACAGTATAAATGATGTGTCAATACTTCTTAACAGTGTTGGGGGTTTTGGTGACTTTTGGCGGCTCGGATGGCATCTTCAGGTGGAAAACAGACTAATCTATGTTTTGCTGCAGTTTCTCCAAATTTATGTGAGAAGGAGGTATGGTATTGAAATCGCAAGACTATTGTTTTGGAGTTTTATTGATGGTGGAACAACACTTTAGTTTTGCTTTTAAGGAGCTGCAATGATTAAACTTTTCTTCTAGTTGTGGGTGTTACAAGCTAGTATAAGCTAGCTCAGAGCGTCCGACACATTTGGACCAATCTGGCAGAGAAAGCCTCATTGTATTATGGGGCTTCATCTGCCCATCACTACATACAGTGCCACTATCTGCCACTAATTTAGAAATTAACGTCAGAGTACAAGTACAACATCACAACCAGACAACTTTAAGTAACCCCCTAAGCAGAATTCAGTTGTAGTTGTCAGCAAGAGTATAAAAACAATCAGTCATACACAAGGATAAGATAAGATAAGATAAGATATGCTTTATTTATCTCACAAGGAGAAATTTACATGTCACGTTTGGCATGGATAGAGACACTCAGATTGTGCAAAAGGAGGAAATGTGCAAACATGTTACATGCAGGATATATATGTACAATAAAAGTGGCAATTTAAAGTGGCAATCAGATACAGTGTCAATAGTAGTGCAGGTTTTTTTTTTTTATATAGTGACTTAACGTGACTTATTGTACAGTCTGACAGCGGTGGGGATAAAGGCCCTGTGGTAGCGCTCCTTCCTACACTGAGGGTGCCTCAGTCTTCCACTGAAGGAGCTCCTCAGCTCCTCTACAGTCCTGTGCAGTGGGAGGTATTGTTCATGATGGAGGTGGCTTTGGCTAGCACCCTCATGTCCCTCACCTCCTCCACAGAGTCCAGGGAGCAGCCCAGAGTGGAGCTGGCCCTCCTGACCAGCTTGTTCAGTCTGTTTCTGTCCCGCTCTGTGCTGCCCGGGGCCCAGCACACGGCAGTGTAGTATATGGCTGAGGCTACCACAGAGTCATAAAAGGTCCTAAGCAGAGGCCTGCTCACTTCGAAGGACCTCAGCCTCCTCAAAAGAAAGAGGCGACTGTTGCCCTTCTTGTGCAGGGCGTTTGTATTATGGGATTATTTTTTCTCAGTTAAAAATAAAAACTCAAACTCAATAGTGAGTGCATAATAGCAGACACAAGAAGGCACATACTCCAATATTAAGAAAACATTAATAATGAGTAAGCTTCCTACAGCTACTGTCGAGAGAATTTAAAATCCTAAAAGCAGCTTCTCTTAAGGAGTGTGAGTATCTGTTTGTCCCTCCAGAGCAACCAGGCCTGGCACCTGCACACAAATGATTTTAGCACTTGTTTTTACAATACTATTCCGATATTTTTTATCCTCAACTGACACATTATGGAATCAACAAACAAAAGACAAAGATAAAAGGCTCTACAGACCTACTACTGGGTCACGGAGTGAAAATGATTTTGGCAAAGTCCTCGTCTATATTGGCAAAAAAGTGTGGTATTGGTGCTCAGGAAATCCCTTGTACTCAAAAATATAATCAATTGGTTTTAGGAAAAGGCGGGATTGGTCCATCATGGGGTTATTACATTGAAATACAAGCAAAAAATGCATATACATACCATCTCCAACTCCAACCTCTATTGTTTTTAAATGCAAATTTGAAGGTCTGTTGAAATGGCTATCAAAATATAATTTCAAATGCCACTTGTGTTTATTGGTGAAAAATGATTTCAGATACAGTAACGATACAAGGTTAGTTTCATTTGATATAAAAGAAGCAAATGCAATGAGAGAACGGCTTGTAAGCTATGACAGGTAAAACCAATAAGTGAGCATGACATTTAAATGTATCTAATTCGTAAAAGTATTCTGTAATTGGCTTTAATGTGATTCTCCACAGTATATCTTTTCTGGACACTTTGGTCTAACCTTGCCTGCAAGCTGAATTCTCGCTGTATTTGTGAGTTCACAAACACTCGAGAATACATCTTGTCCCGCTCCCGCCAACCCTTTTCGAGTAGAAAATCTCGGTGTTCAAGCCAATCTGTCAGTCTGGGGGTCTAGGGCGGGATATCCGGGTTTGACGAAAGCAAGAAGTGCCGGGCCGAAGCAAAACAAACATGGCTACGCAGGAGGACGGACGCGTAGCTGAGGCTATCAAGTCAGTTTTAGCAGAATCTCCAATTTCTTTTTTTGAAAGATGAACAGCGAGAGGCGCTTTGTGCATTTCTGGACGGCAACCTTGGTAGGCGGGCACACATCGTGACTTCGCCCAATCAGCTTGAAGTTTTCTGCTGCTTATCCCTCCTTCTCCTGCAGAAGTCCCAGATTGATATTGTGGAGAACGCATTAGAGTTCTACACAATCATCAATCTGGCTCCTGCCAGGTTAACTTTGGTCTGGGTTTTTATGACTTTTTCTGTCAGTACCAAGTGAAGTAGGATGGGGGGGTTTAGGCTCAGTTGATATCGTCAGAGTACTTCAGTAGAAATCAAGGCAGAATTCTTCCTTTGCATAGGAGACAAAAGAAAAAATGTCTTTACAAACCATTGGAGTTATTCTCTTCATTCTTACTGCTGACACTCTTGTGTCCCAGTGTGTGGCTGATTGGAATAGGCATTAGGTACAAAAACTTGCCAAATCATGGTGTGAACACTCTTGACAAGCCTGACTCTCACCAGACCCTTGTAGTTCCGCCATTCTCCACCAGAGGCGTTTAATATTGGCCAATCAGGATTGCAAGTGTTACGTCTTCTTGTGCGTCTCAGCCAAATCAAACCAAGATAGCGGATATTAAAGAAGCTATACCCAATTTTATTCTAAGTAGTTCATAAAAATGCTTTTTACTACATACAAGTTGTATCATAATACATAATTTAATTTAAAACTTGAGGTCATTGATTTAGCTGTTTATGAAATTTATGCCGTGAAAAGTGCTGAGTAGAGTCTGAGCGGGCCGTTTGTTCTCCTCCACTCACAGAACGAGCAGCGACCAGCCTGCGTCCTCTAGCCTCTACAGCGCTGCTTAACACCAGGGCTATATATATTTGAACAAATATTAGACAGCCCTTACAATTCGAAATGTATTTAATGACTGCAAATAAAATCGTTAGCTCCCAAAGGTTTCACCGGGACGTGCTAGGCAGGTAACAGCTTA